TCCCAGGTTCGATTCCGGTCAAGGGCATGTACCTTGGTTGCGGGCACATTCCCAGTGGGGGGTGTGCAGGAGGCAGCTGATCAATGTTTCTCTCTCATCGATGTTTCTAACTCTCTATCCCTCTCCCTTCCTCTCTGTAAAAAAATCAATAAAATATATTTTTTTTTAAAGAAATTGGGTTAAGTGTCAAATTAGACAAAGCTGGTGAGAATATTAAGGAACTGGAAGCAAGAGCTAAGAAAACAATCCAAAAGGTACTCTTTAAATTTGGTATCCTAAACTCCTTTCATTATTCAGAAGAATAATAGAGAGAAATTAATTTCACTTTTTTAGTTAAAGGATGTTTCTATTTTTAAGAATAACTACCAAAATCAAAAGGAAATAGAACATCCAAATAGAAGGAATAGAGCTAATCCTATATAATAAAACCTTAATATGTAAATCGACCAAACAGCAGAATGACTGGTCACTATGATGTGCACTGACCATCAGGGGGCAGACGCCCAATGCAGGATCTGCCCCTGGTGGTCAGTGTGCTCCCACAGGGGAAGTGCCATTCAGCCAGAAGCCAGGCTCACGGCTGGCGAGCGCAGTGGTGGTAGCTGGAGCCTCTTCTGCCTCCATGGCAGCGCTAAGAACCCCTTGGGGTATGTCTGCCTGTGGGGAGTGGGACTAAGCTGGCAGGGGGACATTCCCTGGGGGTCCCAGACTGCGAAAGGGTGCAGGCCGGGCTGAGGGACCACCTCCCCCCCAGTGCACAAATGTTGTGCACCAGGTCTCTAGTTAAAAAATAAAACACTTGATCTATTCAATAGAAAGAGTGAAGGAGGAGATAAAAATATAGGCAGAGCAAGATAAATTAAAAGCACAACAGAATGTGATAAAAAAATAAATCATAATTTACAAATAATCACTATAAATATTAATGAAACAAACTTTCCAGTTAAGAAACAAAGGTTGTCAGTAGGTATAATTTTTAAATCCCCAGCTACAAGAGCCATGAGTAAACATTAGAATCTAAAAATGTTGAAAGTAACCAATTTAAGGGGGTGGTGGGAGAATATACCAAAAAATGTGCCATTCAAAAAAGCTAGAATGATTATATTATCAGTCAAAAACAGACTTTAAGGCAAAAGAGAATAATTAAATTGTGATGAAAGAAAGACTATTAAGAAGTTATTTCAGAATTAGCTAGTAAAATCGTTTTTAAAAATATATACCCAAGATCTTCCCACAGCTGGCGGGAGGAGTCGGGGGAGAGCCGCACCAAGTAGCCGAGTTGGAGCGGAGGAGAGTGAGAGTGAGCGGCAGGAGCCCAGCGCCCTTAATAAATGCTGGGGACGCCTGAATGGGGATGAATGAGTAATGCCGGTGGCACTGCATAACGGGAGTTCCCCTGAATTTGAGGGGGAGGGGGCTGGGTGGGAGGGCGAGGGGGACGTGGAGGCTGCACAATAGTAAACCACAAAGGTTTGCACTGCAGTCAGATTAATTGGAGGAGGGACAGAGGGGAAAGGGGCGGTTTTGTGCCCCTGAGGATTAGCTGTTGTAACTGGAATTGGTGATACTGAGGGATGACAGGGAGGGGGGCGGGCCTGGTTAGGGGGAGAAATGACTCAGTGGGCACAGAGGTGTGAAAACAAGATCATCCTGGCAGCATTTTGTGTGCGCTTTTATCATTTCACAACCTTTATGTGCAGAAAACTTTTTTTTTTCACTTTTCTTTTGTAAGCAGTTTTATAGGTCTAAGCTGTGAAAGTTACTCGCTGATTCCAAAATAAACCAACTTGGTAAGAAAGTTCTATGACTCTGGAATCCAAGTGTGTTCCTCGTTATTCCGTCTTTAATCCTTCTGAAGTCTCGGCTCTACTTTCATAAACACACCTTTTAAATGGCAACACGGCAAAATTGGCAAACCTAACATGAGAAATAGCTGGCGGAAAGGAATAAACTGATCTTAGGTCTGTTTTTCATAACAAGATATTCTGTGCAAATTATATTATTCCACTAGGCTCAGAGTCAAAGATCATGCTTTTTAAAGTTAATTTAGGGGTTCCTGCTTCTGCCAATATAGGAAGGTCTATATAAACTGGAACTTTCCTGCACAAAACACCTAGAAATGTGTTTAAACTAGAATAATTAGAAACACTTTAAATGTAGGAATAAATGCCCCTCCCTCCCCAAATAAGAGAAATATCCAGGGGCTAAAGGTAGAGAAGGAACCAAAACAAGATGGGTAAGGCCAAGAGCTGATGCTGGAGCCTCCTGGAGGGGGGGGTGTCCTTTCTGTAACTGCCAAGTGTTAGTGACTGACCACGTGGGATTAAAGCATAGGCCAGCCTGGGAGTTAGAGGTGAGACCCTCCCTAAAGCCAGACTCTCAGGAAGGTATAGCCCCACTCTGCCCCAGCACCCGAAAGGGAAAAGTAAGCAAGTCGCTCTTTGACCCAACCCTACAGATAGAGTCCCTAAGAATTTGTGATTTGGGGCCTGCCCTTACACACATTCCAGATTTAAATGTATGCTCTCTGCCACTGTAACAATAAATTCACAATGAAAAATATGTAAACACAAGTGTGTTTAAATTATTTAAGATCTACAAGAAGAAATGGGAAAACTGAAAAAAAAGACTAGGTTCTTTTTTAAAGAACCAAATATAACCTCTAAAATTTAAAAAAAAATTAATTGAATTTAAAAAAAAACAACCTCAAGAAATTGGGTTAAGCCCTAACCGGTTTGGCTCAGTGGATAGAGTGTCGGCCTGCGGACTGAAGGGTCCCAGGTCGATTCCGGTCAAGGGCATGTACCTTGGTTGCGGGCACATACCCAGTGGGGAGTGTGCAGGAGGCAGCTGATCGATGTTTCTCTCTCATCGATGTTTCTAACTCTCTATCCCTCTCCCTTCCTCTCTGTAAAAAATCAATAAAATATATTTTTTTTTAAAGAAATTGGGTTAAGTGTCAAATTAGACAAAGCTGGTGAGAATATTAAGGAACTGGAAGCAAGAGCTAAGAAAACAATCCAAAAGGTACTCTTTAAATTTGGTATCCTAAACTCCTTTCATTATTCAGAAGAATAATAGAGAGAAATTAATTTCACTTTTTTAGTTAAAGGATGTTTCTATTTTTAAGAATAACTACCAAAATCAAAAGGAAATAGAACATCCAAATAGAAGGAATAGAGCTAATCCTATATAATAAAACCTTAATATGTAAATCGACCAAACAGCAGAATGACTGGTCACTATGATGTGCACTGACCACCAGGGGGCAGACGCCCAATGCAGGATCTGCCCCTGGTGGTCAGTGTGCTCCCACAGGGGAAGTGCCATTCAGCCAGAAGCCAGGCTCATGGCTGGCAAGCGCAGTGGTGGTAGCTGGAGCCTCTCCTGCCTCCATGGCAGCGCTAAGGACCCCTTGGGGTATGTCTGCCTGTGGGGAGTGGGACTAAGCTGGCAGGTGGACATTCCCTGGGGGTCCCAGACTGCGAAAGGGTGCAGGCCGGGCTGAGGGACCACCTCCCCCCCAGTGCACAAATGTTGTGCACCAGGTCTCTAGTTAAAAAATAAAACACTTGATCTATTCAATAGAAAGAGTGAAGGAGGAGATAAAAATATAGGCAGAGCAAGATAAATTAAAAGCACAACAGAATGTGATAAAAAAATAAATCATAATTTACAAATAATCACTATAAATATTAATGAAACAAACTTTCCGTTAAGAAACAGTCTGAGACTCCCCCCTGACCGAAAACGACAACCGCGCTCTCAGCCACCAGCCCGCTTTGCGCGCGCACCTCCGCACCTGAGTATTTTCCACACTGCGCCTCCTCTGAGCCTCGGTGTGCTGTTATTTTTCCTTCTAGTTGAAGAGTCTCTCCTCAGCCAGCCTTCCTGTGGTTCTGGGTGATGTCCGTTCCGTCTTTTAGTTGTATTTTGAAGTGGTTGTTTGCGGCAGCAGTCTCCAGTGTTTACCTATGCCGCCATCTTGGTCTCCAGAATGACAGAATTATAAGGAGAAATTGACAAATCCATAATTATAGAGGGAGATTTTAACATACCTCTCTCATAACCAAGTCCAACTCCGTCATCACTAAGCATTCAAATGTAAAAAAAACAAAATAAAAAAACAAAACAAAAAAGAAATCAACTGCTCAAAGATACAGAAACTATGTCAGTTCAAGTTCAACTTAATGAAATATATAGAGCATCACCCAGGTTTTACAAGCAAGTTTAATCAAACATTCAAAGAACTCATAATTTCCATCTTATCCAAACTGCTCTGGCAAGTAGAGTATGCAGGAATGCGTTAAATTCTTTTTATATGTCTAGTAAGTATACCAAAAAGAGACAAGGACAGTTCAAAAAAGAAATAGCAGGCTAGTCTCCTTTAAGAACATAGATACAAAAGCTCTAAATAGAATATTAGCCAAACAAACCCAGCACCATATGCATGAAAATACATCATATCCAAGTTGAGTTTATTCCAAGACCTCAAGATTGATTAAATGTTAGAAGATCTATTAATTTATTACATTATCAATTTGAAGAAGAAATCATATAATCATGTTAACAGATGTAGAAAAGTTATTTAATAAAATTCAGTACTCATTCTTGTTCAAACTAAGAAACAGGAATGTAAACTGATAAAACATAAATACCAAAAATCTATAAAAACATATACATACATAATGGTGAATCCTTAGAAACATACTCTTAAAAACAGGAATAACAAAAGGATTCTCATGGACATGGGTTCTGCTCATCAAGGTGTTGGAGGTCCAGCCAATAAAGTAAGACAAAAATAAGCCACATAAGGGATAATGTTGGAAGGAAAGAAACAATGTTGTTATCAATTATTCTGAGTTGATTATCCATATGCAAAATCTTAAGAGACTCTGAAGACAGGTTATTAATAAGAGAATTGAGCAACTTCTGCTGGGTGGAAGATCAACATACAAAAATCTGTTGGTTTCTTAATACCAGCAGACAACTGAAAATACATTTCTAAAAAAAAAGCTTCCATTTACAATATCAACAACAAATATGGGATACTTAGAAATCAATTTAATGAAAGATATGTAAAGTACAACTAATATTACAAAACTTTATTGGAAATTTTTTAAAAAGTATATATGAATGCAAGGATATATCATGTTCTTCAGTGAGAAGACTCATTTTCATAAAGTCTATTGTCCCAAATTAGTCTATACCAGGGGTCCTCAAACTTTTTAAACAGGGGGCCAGTTCACTGTCCCTCAGACCGTTGGAGGGCTGGACTATAGTTTAAAAAAAAAAACTATGAACAAATTCCTATGCACACTGCACATATCTTATTTTGAAGTAAAAAAACAAAACGGGAACAAATACAATATTTGTATTTGCATGTGGCCCGCGGGCCGTAGTTTGAGGACCCCTGGTCTATACATTCAATGTATACAAAAAATAAAATCCTACCCTAGTTTTTTGATGAAGTTGATAAAGTTTTGGTAAAATTTATGTAAAGGGGCTAAGAAGAATTTGAAGTTAAAGGTGAAGAAGTTTGCCCTGTGAAATATAATGATCTATATATATAAAAGCCTAAGCAATTGTCCAACCATTCGACAGTCAAACAGGTAGCTATGACATGCAATGACGATCAGGGAGCAGATGCTCTGATCAGTAACTATGATATGCACTGACCACCAGGGGGCAGACTATCAATGCAGGAGCTGCCGAGCTGTGGTGACTTGGCAGCTGCGGTTCTGGGTTGATGCAGCCGGAACCAGAGAGGAAGGAGCCCAATTCCAGGGTGCAGCACCCAAGAACCGCTCTCTTGCAATCTAGGATCCCTCAGGGAAGTCGGAGAGCTGGTTTCAGCCCAATCCCTGCAGGCCAGGTGAAGTGACCCCAGTGGTGCACTAATCCATGAACAGGGCCTCTAGTTTATTATAAAGTTAATTATAATTTTAAAAATTATAATTGGTGAAGGTATGATAAATACCCAGAAACAAACCCAGACACATGGGAAACCTTATTTTGGAAAAAGCTATTACAAATCAGGAGAGAAACAATTGATGATTACTTAATAAATGGACCTGGGACCATGATTTAAAATAAACATGCACAAAGATATATAACTAGATCCCTTCCTCATATGTACAAAAGTAAAGTCCAGATGAATTTAAGACAAATATAAAGACAAAACCATAATGCTTTTAGGAGAAAATATAGAAAAAAATTATATGTACTTAGGTAGAGAAAGATTTCTCAATAATAACAAAAATAAACTATAAAGAAATTTTAAAAATCAACTAGATAAAGACT